ATTATCCTTGATGGAAGCGTCAAATATAACTCTTGCGGTACTGTCTATATTTAATGTGTTTAATAATAAGCTTTTAGCACCGCCCTCATCAAAGTCTACCAAGGCTTTCTTAAACAATGGGTCAATGCTTAGTTCTTGGTCTAACTCTTTCATCTTAATTGTTTCAAACTCCACCAAGGTGGTTTCTAAAACACGATTGTAAACTCTTCGCCTTGTATTGTTCGCATCAGGGTCATTCGAAATGGGCATACCAGTTAATGGATCGATCTGCACATTTGCCTCTTCATCGTCGTCATCTTCAAGTCCTTGACCATTTCCGTTGGTACCGTCGCTTCCATTAGATGAATCGTTTGCCTTCCTTTGCGCTAATCCACTCAGCAATTTCCCTGTCTCTGTTGTCACTGAATCAACTCTTGAAGAATAAATCTTAATACACCCGTCTAACGTGGCTGATGCCTTTTGGAAATTAATATTATTCTCGCCATCTTTCAGGACGTCCAAGTCATAAAAATAATCAATCAATGCAAAATTCCAACTATTTCGCGAATTGATTTTATTATCTGTAGCCATTTTGATCCACTCTTCAAAATTTGCCATCACCGTGGATCTATTGGTAAAGAGGTTGTGCTCTTCTCTTTCATCTTCGTCATTATTTTCATACCTTAATTGGGTAGTCATTATATTTCAGTCACCTACTAACGCAACCACACCTAACAAAGTATCTTGGCTCCTCAAAATAATTTTCCATTTTACCATTTATCCAGCGCATAAATAAATATATACTCTTTGATCTATATGGTTTTTTTTACATTATTACTAAAAGGTAAACAATGGAAGCGCGTACTTTACCGTTCAGCGTGATCATAATAACATACTATGTATCTTTTAAATGTATCACCTAATCTAAGTAGCTCTTGCTAAACCACTACAAACGAAAAGAGCCCGTTGATCTAGGACCGCTCTCTGGCCAAAAACTTGAAAAGCTTGAAACTACTGACGGATAATATCCCGATTGCCAAAGATTCTAAAAATTTCAAGATTCGGGTCTGTTTCTCAGCCCTTTCTAACGCTTTGGAGTACGAAATATCGGACCTGAAGGATACCATTGTGTACAGAGGTATCCATTTTTCTCTCATCATGACACTGAATAGAGCATCGAGCTTTCTCCTAAACAAGAAACGCTTCGACGTAACATCATGTGACATTTCCTTGTAATTTCTCTTTGCCAGTTCGGTAATAGAAACAAGGTCTTTGTGTCTTGTTTGACTATACTCAACAAAGGCACTTGAACAATCACCTGAGTGCTTTTTCAACAGTTCCATTAGAATTCTCACATCTTCGAACCCGCAATTCATGCCTTGGCCATAGAATGGTACCATTGCATGTGCTGCGTCACCTAGTAGGATGGCTTTCCCACCGGGAACGTCGTATGGTTTACAATTCACGCAAACAAGACTCTCCTTAGGATATGTGATAAACCTTTTTACAGCGTCGTCCAGATCCATAATATTTACAATATCAGGAAAGTTCTCGACTAGAAAGTTCTTCACACGTGACTCTGAAGTGATCAAATCTGAAATTTGATCTTTAGGCCCAAAGAATGTCGAAGTAAACGAGCCGTCGCTGTTGGCCAGAGCAATTAACATGAACCTGTGACGAGGCCAAATATGTAAATGGTCGGGCGCTATGGCAAAATTCCCTCCATACTCCTGCTTAGATACCTTGGTGGCGGGGATATAAAGCTCAATGTAACGTAAATCCATGTATTCTTGCGAATAATCCATCTCAACTTTACGTTGCATCTGTGATCTTGTAGCAGAGTAAGCACCATCACAACCTATGATGAAGTCGAATTTTTCTATATTTGGTACCTTCGAATCTTCCTCAGCAGCAAAATGACATATTTGCTTGTCATCGGTCCATTCGATTCGGGCCAACTTATGACCGAATTTTAGCTCTGCTGTAGTCTTTTCTAATTCATCCAATAGTTTATTATTTAATACAGATCTATTGATGGAATTGATGGCTTCTCCATGTAAGCCATACAATTGAGATTCCTGCTCACCCCTCAAATCATGAATCATTCGGCCTTTCATGGGAATCATATCTTGCAAAATGCGTTCACACGCACCAAAATCTACCGATTTCAGTGCATCAATGCCTCGGGCAGAGATCGCCAAATTGATGGATTTCAAGTTTTTATTTTGAGTGGTGTCCAACCTTGGATCATGTCTAAAGTCATAAAGTGTGACTTGATATCCCTCTTTAGATAATGCCAATGCAGCAAGACAGCCTACTAACCCTGCCCCTATAACAGCTACCGATTCAGACATATACAGACGAAATAGTTTGTTTGAGGTCGTGTATGTTTCAAGTGTCATAAATATTTAATTATTGAAAGCAACGTCCGTGCCAGAAATTCGGGCCTTTTTATAAGAAACACTAGAAGAAAAAAAGAGTCAATGCATACAATAGGATAAAAGAGAAGGCATAGGTAGAAAAATACTCTTAAAATAAATATCGCATGAAGGCGATATTTCCTTATAATTTTTAGTAGTTACTTACTTTCCTTGAAAGAAAAGTAGGGGCATTATTTACCATAAGAATAATAATAATATATAATAATCAAAATAAAAAAACTCTAAAGATATTCAGATTTTTCAGGGATGTTGTTGAATTTCACTGTCAATGTAATTTTTTTTTCATTTTTTTTAAAATTTCTATATTTACATTTCTCTTTGAGACGTATCTTATATTCATTTTTTTAATTCATTAAAAAGTGGCAACAAAGGATTCTGTAGCACTCTTTAAGGAAGCCAACAGTTCTTTTGACAATTCACCCTTTTCTCTAATTTCAGTTAGAAGTTCATCGTGATTAGATTTTAGGTAAGATAAGAAAGAAGATTCAAACTCACCAATTCTTGATAGTTCAATGTTGTCCAAATGACCGTTAACACCAGCATAGATCAATGGAACTTGTTCTTCGGTAGCCAATGGAGAGTATTGGTTTTGCTTCAATAATTGAGTCAATCTTTCACCTTTAACCAAAGTTTGCTTGGTAGAAGCATCTAAATCGGAACCAAATTGGGCAAAAGCAGCGACTTCTCTGTATTGAGCCAAAAACAATTTCAAAGAACCGGCGACTTGCTTCAAAGCTTTGACTTGAGCAGCGGAACCGACACGAGAGACGGACAAACCGACGTTAATGGCAGGTCTGATACCTTTGTAGAATAATTCAGCTTCCAAGAAAATTTGACCATCGGTAATGGAAATGACATTGGTTGGAATATAAGCCGAAACATCACCACCTTGAGTTTCAATAACAGGCAAGGCGGTCAAAGAACCGGAACCTTCCTTTTCGGACAACTTAGCAGCTCTTTCCAAAAGTCTTGAATGCAAGTAAAAGACATCACCAGGGTAGGCTTCACGACCAGGAGGACGTCTCAACAACAAAGACAATTGACGGTATGCGACGGCTTGCTTCGACAAGTCATCGTATACGATCAAAGCGTGCTTACCGTTATCTCTGAACCATTCACCAATGGATGCAGCGGTAAACGGAGCCAAGTATTGCAAAGGAGCGGCTTCAGATGCGGTGGCGGCAACAATGATGGTATACTTCATGGCGTCGTGTTGTTCCAAAGTCTGGACCAATTGGGCAACGGTGGATCTTTTCTGTCCGACGGCAACGTAAACACAGTAAAGTTTTTTGGTTTCGTCGTTACCGTTGTTCCATCTCTTTTGGTTTAAGATGGTGTCCAAGGCGACGGCGGTCTTACCGGTTTGACGATCACCAATGATCAATTCTCTTTGGCCTCTACCGATAGGGACCAAAGCGTCAACGGCTTTCAAACCGGTCTGGACCGGTTCGTGGACGGATCTTCTTGGCAAGATACCTGGGGCTTTGACCTGAGCTCTTGAACGACCCACGGAGTCAAGGGGTCCCTTACCGTCAATTGGGTTACCTAGAGCATCAACGACTCTACCCAAAAGGCCTGGGCCAACGGGAACATCGACAATCTTACCGGTTCTCTTAACCAACTCACCTTCCTTGACCAGTCTGTCAGAACCGAAAAGAACGATACCGACTTGACCGGGCTCCAAGTTCAAAGCCATACCTTTGACACCGGAGGAAAACTCGACCAATTCTTCGGCTTGGATGTTGTTCAAACCGAAAACACGGGCAATACCATCACCGACGGCAAGAACCCTACCGGTTTCGTTCAAGTTGGCCTCATCGGACACGCCCTTGATTCTTTCCTCTAAAATGGAGGAAACTTCTGTGGGTTGCGCCTTGGTGGAAGCCAATCTTCTGGCGGAGGCCAAAGCAGCAACACCAGCGGCAGGTCTTGCAGCTCTGGCGGAGTGCAGTAAAGTTCTCGACAGAGAACGGATAGCAGCAGTACGAGCTAACATCATTGTATGTGCGTTATTATTGCTATTGTGATTGCTACGAGGGCTGAACGATCAATCTGTTATGTACCAATGGTTCGCAGCGGGAAAAAAAAAAACTTTCTCGAGTATGTGTAATGAGAGTCTTCTTTTCTTTTCTTTCTTTGTTTGACCTAGAGTATATATGCCTTGTTTGGGAATATATGAGAAATCAATTAAAAACGAAAAAAGAGAGGGAGTAACAACGTCAATGGAAAAAGCAGGAAGAATGAAAACAATCTAACAAGATCAATTGAAAGAGCTATGACAGTATAAAATCTCTGCTTTCGTAGAAGGAAGGGTTTTTCTTTTCAAGAAGTCGACTGAAAAAGAGCGAATGTGGGTTTGGATATGTACCATGTATAACAACTATAATAAATACAAGATTCAAAAAAGGCGTAAAAGGCGTGAAGGGGCAGGAGAGCACCGGGCCCAGTTTTAAAGGGATCTGATTGGCTTAGAAGCCACCGCGGCCGCATCACCCGGGCGACCAATCAGCGCGGAGAAACGGGCCTAAAAGCAGGAAAAAAAACGTGCTGTGCGAAAAAAAACTGCAACGAAAAAATAAATGCGAATTCTGTGGATCGAACACAGGACCTCCAGATTACTTGACCGAAGTTTTATTCTTCAGTCTGGCGCTCTCCCAACTGAGCTAAATCCGCTTGTATTTTATAAAAGAAGGAGCTTCAACTTGCCACACTTGCTACACTTGCTACACTTGCTACGCTTGCTACTAGCTATATTATTAAGCGCGCACATGCCAAAGCGTTGAAGTCAACGTTGTTTGGTGTCTCAGGAAGACTATCCAAAAAAGCATGAACACGAGGTTCTGCGTTACCACCTCTGTTGATAATTAGTTAGTTTAGTAAGTTTGTTGATAATTAGTTAGTTTAGTAAGTTGTAATAATTAAGAATAAGCAGTTCTTTCTTAAATTATATAAGAGAGGTATATAAAACACACGCTGATTGGTTATATGAAACCCAATGGTTCAGACATAATTCGGAACATCGATAATAAGTTAACAGGTGTAACTCATCTTCTTATATACTGAGTTCTGATCAATTAATATGTCTTTAATCTAATCTTCATTTATTATCAGAATTGATTATATCCTTATCATGGGAAAAAGGCGATAAGCAATAATGATACTTCATGACGAAAACTTATTAATATTTTCTGCCCGAAGTCACATATTCCAACAACCTCAGCATTATTCCAGCTCCCCATAACTCCTTCGCAGGACAGATCGTGGTTTTCAAGATGGTTCGTACTCAAGTTTAGCCGCTGAAGTAATATCTTTCTTTCAAGCGTGTGTCTAATGTGACAGAAGTATAGCAATGACAGGTTCGTTTAAAAGCATGCCATTGCCACATAAGAAGTTTTTTTACCTTATGTTTTTCTATGCGCTGTCCACAATACTCAAGAACCACACCGAATTATAAAAATAAAAGTGAACGAGCCCTTCTCAGTTCTAAAGCGAAACAAAAAAATCCGCACTAGCTTCTTTACCAGATATAACCCTCTACCTAACAACTGTCTTCCACCGTGTAATCCCGCTCATTCCGTAATACCTACCATACGTGATCCGCCGGGTTTTACTACGGAATGTCTGGGCCTTCCTCACATGACACTTCGCCGTTTTACGAGCATGACCATCAAAGAGTCTTACTTGGACAGTCCATGCGTCAGTAAGGTTCCCACAAGAAACAGGCTCCCCACAAGAAACAGGCTCCGCGGAAACTTATTAAGTACACCGTATTTCCGCAATACCTTTCCCCCTCCCTCAGCACCTCTTGCCTCTTTCCTCTTGCCTCAAGCTACGCATCGTCCCACCCCTTAATATATAACGGTTTGGTCATATGTGCTGTAGTTGTACCACACAAAACACTCACTGATCTCGCAGCATCGAAAACCTATCATCAATCTTTCTTCAGCCTCTGACTCTTCCGAAGGATCTCCACTTTTACTCATTTCCGTTTCCATTTTTGTAAGAAAGAACAAAAAAGGGACAAAAAAAATAAAAAAAAAAGAAAACGACTAACTGCTATTAAGGTTAATCGTAACCCTTAGATAAGCCACGTTTTATATATATTTTTGGAGGGGCCTTAGGTGAGGTAACTTCTATAAGGTAAAGAAGGATAAACAAGATTTTCCTTACCCCTATCGGGCCATGCCTTTTATATCATCGAGATCAGTGGCGAAAAATTCCTCGCACTCTTTATCAGAAACAGATCTGAACCATTCCAAAGGACAACTCTCTCAAGCCTCCCCCACAGAGAAATCAGGGTCCATGCAGCAACGAAGAAGATCCTCCACCATCAAGCATGCGCTGTCGTCGTTTCTCGGTGGTGCAGCCGCTAATGCCACCTCAAATTCCATCTTGCCCAAAAGTGTGAAAAACGGCACTACCAACTTCAACATCAGAAGCAGCCATACAGACGCCCAACTCTCGGGTAAAAAGCAGAACAAACAGCTACCCCAAGAAGCTAGACGACATAGCACTACCGCCGTTACAGGCCCTAACAATGATAACGGCACCACCTCTCCGAGGTCCTCGACCTCGGACACTAACCGCCGGTCCCTGGGACGGTCGTCGGTAGATCAGGACCCTCGGACCGCAGGCGTTCGCTATTCGCAGATTGAAGAGGATAGCGAGGTCCTGGATTCCGACGATGACCACAATTCATCGGCCGTGGTGTCGAGCGACCTATCGTCGGCTTCCTATACAAGACTGACTAGCTCGAAAAAAAAATTCAATAAGCAATTTTTGTCAGAATATCTAACCGCTAGAGGTCTATTGAGCCCCAAAGCAGTTCTTTCGAATGACGACTTGAAAATTTCCATCTCCACGAGCGGCGAAAGCGTTTTCTTACCAACGATATCCACGAACGACGACGAGTATTTGACTAGGCTCAACGGGCTCAATGACGGAGCAGACGATGCTGAAGCTGATTTTTTCCTGGATGGTCAGGACCAGCCAGACAGCAATGGTTCTGTTCCCACAAACAATGACCTGCCCGCGACGACGGCGGCACAGGTCGCAGGAAGTGGCGCGGCAAATGCCAATAGGGACACACTTCTGAGAGAGAATACTTCGGAGGAGCGTCCAAACTTGACTTCTGATTCCACTTCAAGGTCCGTTGAAATCGACAGCTCCATGGTGTCGTATAGCATAGCCGTTATAATATCTGTCAAGAAACAAACCAGATTTGCCGACATACAACTGGAACTATGTTCGAGGGTTAAGGTGTTTTGGAATACAGGCGTGCCCCCAACAAAGACATTTAACGAAGAATTTTATAACGCTGCATCGATGAAATGGAACTTGAACAGCGAAAATTTCAATTTGTTTGTACCGTTAAGCATCTCTCCAGATGACCAGATGATCGAAAATAACACCAACGATCGTCAAATGAGACTTTTCAAAAACAAACCCGTACAAGAAAGAACCTACTTGGACAAGACGAAAACGAAACAAGACCTCCTAGGCACTATCGACACCAAAAAAAACTACCTGTACCAACCTGGTGATTACGTGTTCTTGGTACCGGTCGTATTCTCCAACCATGTCCCGGAAACGATTTACTTGCCCTCTGCACGTGTTGGGTACAGACTGAGACTTGCTACAAAGGTAGTTAATAAAAAAGGCTTCTACAATCAAGATCCTAATCCCCCTCAATTAGCCGCATCGCCTGATTCTTCTTCGTCGCTAAGCTCTACTTCCTCTTCCTTAAAACTCACCGAAACGGAATCTGCCCAAGCACACAAGAAGATCGGAAATGCCCTATTCCATAAGGTAAAGAATCATTTGCATATGAGTTCACATCAACTTAAAAGCGAAGGAGCTGGCGAGGAGGACGTTTTTGCAGAGTACCCATTCAAAATCATCAGAACGCCACCACCCGTTGCAGTGTCCACTGCGAATAAACCGATATATATCAATAGGGTCTGGACAGATTCTTTGTCATACGAAATCTCCTTTGCTCAGAAATACGTGTCATTAGATAGCGATGTTCCCATAAAGATCAAATTGGCACCAATTTGCAAAAATGTTTATGTTAAACGTATTCATGTCAGTGTCACTGAAAAAGTTACCTTTGTCAGTAAAGGTTATGAGTATGAATACGATCAGACAGATCCTGTCGCCAAAGACCCGTACAACCCTTATTATTTGGATTTTGCCTCCAAGAGAAGGAAGGAAAGAAGTCTATCCTTGTTTGAAATCAGAACCAAGGAAAAGGGTGGAAGGGCGCTACGAGAAGAAATTGTGGAGAATGCGTTCAATGATAATCTTTTATCTTACAGTCCCATAGATGACGACGGCGATACTAAAGGCAACCAAAGGGAAAGAATTGGCATTACGGAGCCAATAATTATTGAAACAAATTTGAAGTTCCCCAAATATGAAGATTTAGATAAAAGAACCGCTAAGATAATACCACCTTATGGAATTGATGCATATGCAAGTATTCCCAATCTCGAACATGCTCCAACTAACGGACCATCTCATCGTCGTCCAAGCGTGATAGGATTTTTGTCAGGTCATAAAAACTCAAAGACTCATGACGAAAATGCAAAAACTGTTTATGATTCAAAATTCCACGAAACAAGAATCAAGACCAATTCCGGCCTGCCTGTGAAATCACATACACGGTTAAACAAGCCCAAAAGAGGTTTATATCTGGACAGTTTACATTTCAGTAACATCTATTGTAGACACAAGTTAGAGATCATGCTAAGGATAAGTAAGCCTGACCCTGAAAATCCATCCAAATTAAGGCACTACGAAGTACTGATCGACACCCCTATATTCCTCGTATCTGAGCTATGTAACAGTGGTAATATGGAACTACCCACTTATGACATGGCTACAATGGACGGCCAAAATAACCACACTCCTGCTAGTGTGAATAATGATTTTTTTGGAAACACATGTCCACCTCCACCAACTTTCGAAGAAGCCATATCTGTTCCAGCTTCCCCCATCGTTTCTCCAATGGGATCGCCTAATATCATGGCATCATATGACCCTGATTTACTATCCATTCAGCAGTTGAACTTATCAAGAACTACGTCTATTAGTGGGCCATCAGGATCCAATGACGAGAGTAGTTTAATGAACACTAACCGTAACAGTATTTCGAACGGTAATGCAATGAACGGAAATATTACAAATTCCGCGTTTGCTTCTAACAACAGCGGCCAGGGTGTCGCCAGGGCAAGAGCCACATCAGTCAACGATAGGTCAAGATTCAACAACCTCGATAGATTATTGAGCACACCATCACCTATCAATGTGTCGAATGTCTCTTCACCAGTAAACGGCTCATCACAAGGGTATGGGGATGCCACCATACGAAATTCAAACTCTTTCTCTGAAGAGAAAGCTGACAGTTCGAACGCTTTTTTCAAAAAGGGTTACACCCTATCAAGTGTAAAAGACGACGAAGAAAAAGATGGAATAGTTAGTTCGAGTTCGGCAGAATCATTAATTTCTCGTGGTAACGAGTTATTGAACGAGCCACCACGTTATGAGGAGATAGTGCCTTTGATGAGCGACGAGGAGTAGAATTTGTCTTTTTCTTTTTTTCTTTCTCTCTAATATGCTTTACATTGCTTCAAGGTGATTATTTATATAGAACAGTGGCATGTTTTACTTTT